CATAGTGACCCCATAAGGTCGGGTAGAACTGCCCCTAGGGGTTTCCAAGACTGTAACTCTTTTGTCTTTTTCCCATGGAATGGCTGTTGGTTTTGAACTGCTGACCTTGCAATTAGCAGGCAAATGCATAACCACTATGCCACACCAGGGCTCCCTTATACATCAAAAGATTTGACCAAAAGAGTAAAAGGAGATTCACAGACTGGGAAACTTTTTTGGCAATGATATATCCGACAAGGGACTAATCTCAAAAATCTACAAAAAACTCTGCATTGGCGCAACAAGACAAAGCCAAATAACCCAACGAAAAGTGGGCAGAGGACATAGCTGATGGTTCACCGAAGAAGACATCCAAGTAGTCAATAAACATGAACAAATGTTGGTGACCACCAGCCATCCAAGAACTGAAAATCAAAACCGTGATGAGATACCAGCTTACATCTACATTAACAGCAAAGCTAAAACAATATTAATAAAAAAGCTAGGATGCAATAAGATTGGAACCTTCACACCCCTTTGGTGTGACGGTAAAACGGTATAATCATGGTGAAAAGTCGTATGGCACTTACTCAAACAACTGGGAATAGAAATACCATATGACTCAGGAGCCCCTCTACTTCAGTGGTTCTCAACCCTCCCAATGCTGTGACCCTTTCATACAGTTCTTCATGTTGTGGTGATGCCCCCAACCATAAAATTATTTTCGTTGCTACTTCATAACTGTAATTTTGCTAGTATTATGAATCGGGTGACCCCTATGTAAGGTTGTTGACCCCCAGAGGGGTCACAACCCACAGGTTGAGAACCGCTGCCCTAAAGGTATAAGAGCCATGAACTAGAACAGACATATGCACATCCAGATTCACAACAGCATGAAGATGAAAAAACCTAAATGCCCATCAGTGGCAGAACGGATCAAGAAACTTTGGTACATAAACATAATGGAACACTATGCAACCCCAAAGAAAAATTATGAAACTGTAAAAGACCTCATAACATGGATGGATTTGGTGGGCATTATGATGACTGAAGCTAATCAATCACAAAAGTATATGAGACTACTATTATAAGGGGGAAAAATCAAGATAAAGGTGATGTACCCAAAGAAATAGACTGATGGTGACCAGGGGTGAGAGGGGCAGGGACGGAAAGGGAAGCAATAAGCTAGAGGGTAGATGGGTGTTAACTAGGATGAAGGCCAAGATAAAATCCTACAAGTGGGAGGAGAGAAAAATGGGGGGGGGGGGCAGCTATTGGAAGATTTAAGAAGTTGTTTACATTGTTGAGTATAAAAATTATGAGCTGAAATGTAAACCTGTACCTAATTCAAAATGAAAAGTTATTTTATAAGAAAAAATACAAGAGGAAGATATGCTTGAGTACTGTCATGAAACTCACTGCCATTGGGTCAATGCCGACCCCTGTGAGTTTCTGAGACTGTTAACTTTGTCCTGCATAGCTGTGAGAGGCTTCAAACTGGCGAGCATGCAGATCACAGCCCTATATGTAACCACTACACCACCAGCACTCCACAGTCATGAAAGGGAACTGGAAATTGAAATAGGTCAATGAAGAAAATGGTAGCAAAGGAAGAACAATCCATACAAGAAGACTGTGGAACGGCCAGGAGGAAAGTGCTGATCTTTAAAGACTAT